ATTCCCTGTGTTTCCAGTTCCCATCTGTACCGCTGTGCATCCTCTGGTCTCACCAGGTTTGCAAGGTAGAATTGGGATCATGATAGTTGGGATGAAGCGTTTAAGAACTAGAGGAAGGTTGTGAGTTTCATTATTGCTACACTGAACCCTGAGTGACTCGTCTCCTCCCCACTACCCCACTGCAAGGTATGTCCAGTTGTCTTCAGATGGACATTGGGTCCCCATCACGCGCTACCCTCATTCACGATATGATTTTGAAAAAATTGGATATTTTGGTGTTTTATTTGTTGAGTTGTAAGAGTTACTTATATAATCAGGATACTATATTAGATGCATGATTTTTAAACATTTTCTCCTATTTTGTGTGCTTATCTTTCCACTTCTTTTTTAAATGATTTTTATTCTGCATATCTTGGGTTTACATTACTTGTAAACATCTGTTAACTTCAGCTACTACTAGGTGTTTGTCTACCAATGAAGACATAGTTCTACATACTGCAGGGCATGCAAGGAGAAATTAAGCAGCCGTACATCTCTAGGAGTTTATGGTAGAGAATAGGTAAATACTTCACAGGTATACTTAATCCAAGTGTTAAGGATTAAGGAGTTACATAAAATTTGGGAAATTCTTATGAATCATTTATTCATGCAATGTCTCCATAGGTCAGAATTGACAAGCTAGCTATGAGTTTTTAGTTTTTCTGTTCCAAGATAGTTCCTGCATGGTACTTACTAACTTTAAACACCATGATTCCTGACTGTAGCCAGTAAAGGTTAGACTTTGTTATTGAAAAACCTGGAAAACAATCCTCTTCTCATTTTTTTCTTTTCACATTATTTGTGATAAAGAATGGAAGAATACTATGTACATCAGTAACATGTATTTAGATTTTTATTTCAATTTTTAGCCAGAAGAAATATACTGGGAATGTCAACATTAAACAAAACACTTTTCAACTTTGGAAAGTATGTCTAAATATTAAACACTTTGTGTTTTAGTGCCAGTTCCGAGGAATATAACACAGTTGTACAGAAGCCACGGCAAATTCTGTGTCAGTTTATTGATCGAATTCTTACAGATGTGAATGTTGGTAAGAAACCACTTATTTCTTACATAAACTTTAAAAATTACTACTCCCCCCCCCAGAAACAAATACACTAACATTTTCTGCATGTTGTTTTAGATAAAGACCTCGTAATTATAGTAATTACCATTTTCAAGCAAGTTATTTGTTATGCAGGTTTTCTTACTGCTTTTTACATAGTGTGATTTAGGTCTTAAAGTAATCTATTTCTTCATTTGCTATCCAGAATCTCTGCTGTTTGCTGTGAGTTAATACCAGATATTATTAATAAAAGATACTTTTGATGAATTATAATGATCTGGACCCTATTTTAGTTAGAAACAGTAAATCCCATAAAGAACTGTAGATAAGAATTAGTTATATTTTTTTCTCTGGGAAGTAATAGAATTCTTTGACTTATTGAATCAGCTATTGTGTGTGTGTGTGGGGGGGGGCGGCAATCTATTAAACAAATATTAGTAACGTCATTGATTCCTACAGCCAAGATGGTATCACTTCTGTCATATCTCTTGTAATTATGTGGAGTTGATGAATACCTTGGCTCAGAGCCTATAATTTTGATTCCATTCTCAGCACAGATTTCATAACTGAATAATCATAAAAACTAAAGAATAACAAAGGACTTGAATATTTTCCAAGGTATGCTTTCATGTGACACTCCCTCTGACAACTTGTCCTCTTCTCTGCTTGACCAACCCTTCAAGTCTTCCACAGTGTATCTCTGACAGTCCCTCTTACCCTGGACTAGTTTCTTTTTTAGCAGAAGAACTGCTCTTTCATTTCCATGACTCTTCATAATTAATCTTTATTATTTTAGTTGCCTTGGAACTCATAAAGAAAACGGACTCTCAGCCAACCTCTGTGATGTTGCTTGATTTCATCCAGCATATCATGAAGTCTTCCCCACTGATGTTTGTAAGTGTGAATGCAAGCCATAGTCAAAATGAGGCCAAAGGCAGTTGTATCGGTAAGTCTTGCTGTGTGTGTATTCATGTGCAACCTGTTTTATTGGAAATACCAAATATGAATTAACATACTTTTTTTGGTGTCAAATTTACCATTAATTGAAGGGGTGAAATGGCAAAGATTACTTTAATTTCATGCTTTTTATCTCTCATGTGTTAGGTAGTTGGACTGGAACAGAAATAATCAAATATCTGTTTATTTGCCTTTGAACACTTTGGTACATTTTTGTTTCAGGATTTGGCAAACTGACTCACAGGTTCAACATCTGCTTTCATAAGCAAAGTTTTTAAAAAACTTTGGAACACAGCTATACTTACTTACTCATAATGGATAACAACTTTTGTGTTAGAAGGATCTAGTAGTTGCCATGGAGAGTGTATAACCAGCACAGCTAAAATATTTATGACATCCTTTTAAGAAAAAATTTGCTGACATCTTTTTTAGGTGTTGAGGTGTTTTCTAGGCTTGATCCTTTTCCCCCTTTATTGGTCTCCTCATTTAAAAACTGCAAATCAAAACATCTTTTATTCTGTCCAATGCAAATTGGAAAATTACTATATGTTTAAAATATTGTTTATTAAAATTTATAAATTTAAAGTTTATGATACATTTTTAAAATTTCTGAAACTGGATTAGAATACAGGAAACGTTTCATAAAACTACTGAGATACTAATCAGTGCTATGGTTAATATTAAAAACTGAACATTCTATTTAAGTTGGACTTAGGTTATTTTTATACATAGTGAACAATACAACCACAATAATTAACCTCAAGTTAGCAATAAAGTTGCAAAACTCATAAAAAGTTTCTTTAGTTGGCAAACACCATCCTTAAAACATTTAGGGGAGAAAGCCTTTAAACATTATAAAAGTTGTTCATTGGTATTTCTATTGTAAAGCTAGTTTACAAATCAAAATGAAAGAGCATTACATATGTGAAAGTGATCAGAGACTACAGTGCAGACATTTCATCTAACATCTGACAATTTAAAATAACAGATTATGACTTGGTATGTGTTACGCAACTCTGATCAAAAGCTGAAATTTTTCTGAATATATATATCCACATATACTCTTACAGGTCAAGCCTGGGTTTAGAAGAATCTGTAGCAAGTAGGTAATGGTGTCAACCCTCTTAAACCAACAAAGAAAATGTATATTGACAGTAGTCATATTGATATTTTTTCTACTATGGAGCCCAATGTGAAATTCTCATAAGTAGGCAATTACACCATGAACATTTAAGTATATCTCCATTTATATAAACTTAGCCCACAAATTAAACAGTGGGGATTATATATATATCTTCTAAAGTTAAAATTAATTTTCAGAAAAAAATGCATTCACAAATTGAAAATTATACAAAAATGAATTATAAAAAAATAATGTAAGTATCAACTAAACATCCATAATAACATACCTGCCAAGGTAGATTTAGTGATTGGTCAAACTTGTAATGGTTTGGGTGGGAAGGCTTTTCCCAGTGCGGGTCACCTATCTCTGATTTTGTAAAGGCAGAATTCCAGTCAGAAAACAATTCTCACGCTTCAATAGCCTTTGTTCAAAGGCATCATTATGATCATATTTAGGGCTATCTTAAGTCTTTGTCTCTTTAACACGCTCTGATATTCAGTGTTTGAGCTAAGGTGTTTGTACTTGTATACTTTAAGTTTACTTGTTTGAACAGCTGCTTATTTTTGTTATATTGTAATATATAGCTACTATATGATGCCATCTGGGCCAACTAAGTAAGTAGTCCTGTCTACTCTACTGCTCATCTTTTTAACTTTCTTCCAGTGTTTATTGTGTAAATATGTGTTTATTCAAGTGCTTATTACAAAGAATTGGTTTTATCAGATATTAAATCCCTAAACATTTCCCTTAGTTACATTGAATACTTGTTTTTGATTTTTCTAGTCACTGCAACCTTACTATTAATGATATCATTTAAGCTTCTTTTTTTTTATGGTTGCAAAGATTCTACACTATGACTATGGTAATATGATTTATATATCACTTATAAAATGAAATTTCAAGTAAAATAAGCTAAATTCACATATATTGGGCCAAACAGATTGGGCATCTAGATTTCACTTTTATAAATTACATAAATACATTGTATGTTCTTTTTTTGTTGGTTTGTTTTGTTTTTTTGTTTTTTGTTTTTAACATTTTATTAGGGGCTCATACAACTGTTACCCAATCCATACACACATCAATTGTGTAAAGCGCATTTGTACATCGTTTCTCAAAACATTTTCTCTCCATTTAAACCCCCGACATTA